GACTACCGTGAACGTACCTCTCCCTCTTACGACCTCGACGTCTCTTACGACCGTCGTTATCGTCAACCCGTAGACTCCGCCTACGGTTACCAATCCGAGTCCGTCGACGTCTCGTACGATCGGGCCTCCCAACCCCAGACCGACTCTTACAAGGCAGACGACGTCTACCTTCGTGAAGTTCAGCCCCGTGCTCGTTACTCCACCCCCACTGAAGTAAAAGTTTCTCAGTCCACTACCCGTGACACCGCCCCCACTCGCAAAATGGGTTACTACGACGACGAAGGCCAGTACCACTCCTTCCGCCGTGGCGTTGAGCGCGCCGCCGACCGTGTCATGCACCCCTTCTCCCACTCCGAGCATGAGGAGTCTCACGGTGGTGAGGTCGCTGCTCCCCGTGAGAACGTCCGCGTCGTTGAGCCCCGCAACCGTGGCTCCGCTGGCGAGACTGTGCCCATCCCCTGCCACTTCATCCGCGTCGGCGACATCCTGATCCTTCAGGGCCGCCCTTGCCAGGTGATCCGCATCTCGGTCTCCCCCCAGACCGGCCAGCACCGTTACCTCGGTGTCGACCTCTTCACCCGCAAGCTGCAGGAGGAGTCCAGCTTCGTTGCCAACCCCTCTCCCTCCGTGGTTGTCCAGACCATGCTCGGTCCCGTCTTCAAGACCTACCGCATCCTGGACCTCCGTGATGACAACCGCCTCGTCGCCATGACCGAGAGCGGTGATGTCAAGCAGGGTCTCAATGTCATCACCCAGGGCCACCTCTTCAAGCGCATCAGCGATGCCTTCGCTGACGGCCGTGGTTCCGTCCGTGCCCTCGTCATCAACGACGGTGGCCGTGAGCTCGTCGTCGACTACAAGGTCATCCACGGCTCCCGTCTGTAAATTTTTTCTTTTTCTGGGTTTCTCCTAGAGGGGGGTCTAGATACGGTTGTCCCTCATCCATGGTGTGATGAATAGTTATTTGTTTTCTTTTTCCTTTTGCTTGTGTGATTTAATTTTCCTTTGTCTGACGATCTCATGTATGCAACTTTTTGTGTGCTGGTGAAAACTTGAATGGATTTATCTGTACTCAATTAGCCTTGACTTCCTTGTAACTAGCTCATAATGTAGAAATTAGGCCCGTGTCTACACTTTTCTCTCCGCTTCTTTACTTTTCTGGCTCATATTGAGGTTGGGCAGAAACCCATCTCGCATATATTATTGGCTTGGCCAAAAACAGGTTTTTCATGGCTTTTGGTTTACCTTTGATGTTCTCTCAAATGTAAATGTAAATAAATATGTTAATATTACTACTATTCTTCCCCGTAATTGCGGTGAACATGTGGTTGCCACAGATCCCCGGATATATATTTCACAACCATGGTAGACTATGGAGTGTCTCCACCGCTTCCCATTCGCTGACCTCCGTCATAACTAGTTGTCTCGAATTTCGATAAGAGGCACTCGGGCATATTGAATCTTATTGAGAAATATGCATGAATGGATGGAATAGGACAATTGACCAATCCACAATACTTGCGCCGTGGATCACCCCCGCGCTTGAACAATCCCCATTGTTGGCCAATATCAAGATTACACAGGCTCCAGAACCTGCATCAAAATGCTTATCACGAGGACTGTGGGATTTTCTAGGTCACAAATCGGTAGATGAAATCAGGATCTACACTTGCTGCACAGTCTGCAGGGTTGCATAATAGGCGCCCCGGGCACCGGGAATGAAGATGGCCTATTGGTGACGACGATATGTCCCTGTGTGTCTGAAGTAAGCTAGCTCCTACCCATATTTGTATTGAATTCGATGCAGCAACTAGCGCTAAGGCAAATCGAGAATCTCCTACCGAGTGCGCCCCCAATATCGATCTGCATGCAAAGGGCTGCTGGTGTGCTCCTTTGGCGATGACGCCCGGAAGAGACTACCCAATCCCCACCCAGCCAGCAGTAGTATTTTCACGCACATGTATGGAGTCATTCCTGTATTATAGTACGATTATGATGCTGTTTGACCCCTCGCTCGATGTCACAGCAAGCAATATACCTCCGTATTTGGCCTTTGCAGCCAATGATGGACAAGCTGTTCCGCAACCTGTCTTGGATGAATCTTATCATTCCTCCATTATGATCGCAAATGTGATGCGAATAGCTCGGTTATCCCGCCATCTGCGACTTCCTCCAATCCCAGGGTATCGAAACAACGCGCCACGCCTACGGTTCCAGCACCGCATTCGAAGCCAAAGTTGGCAGTGGAGATGGTCGTTGCGTAAACTTCAACGCCGAGTATGATGCACTTCCTGGAATTGTACATGTGTGTGGTCACAACCTCATTACAATTTCGATCATCACCGGCTTTTCCGTTATCTGAGGAAGAATTTAGTAAAGACGTCCTTGGTATGGCCGGTCATTGCCTACTATGACATTACAGCAGTGCATCATGGTAGGCTCCAAATTGCCAACATTAGCTGCAAATTTACGTCCAAAAGCTTGTTGAGGGCCTCATACCTGACAGCGCCATCGCCGTGGTCCTAAATGCTCCAAAGCTACTATAAACTAGGCGGCCCTAGGATTCCGTCCTGTCAGTAAATGTGGAAATGTTTGCTGGGGATATTCCTCGTTCTCCCACTTTCATTCGCGCGCTTTCCATTGTTATCTACTATTTATGTTTCGACACCGTTATTATTTCACGCAATGCAGAAAATAGACCAATGAAAGCCGGAGCAATGAAACACTGTCTTTATCTCAACATCCCATGGCCGTCGTATAGTAGTCCCACGGATCCCAAGTGCTGGTATACTGACACAAAATCATTGGCAAATACTTTTTAGACCATTCGTCATTCCTGTCAGCAGTATACTGCGCCTTTCTGGCCTCCCAGTACATAGGTAGCCAGCCTGACTGTTCCCAATCGATGATTGCAAGAACCTGATAAGGTTCGGAGGATGTTATCAAGACGTTGCTCCGGTGGAGATCGCCATGCGTAAATTTGATTTCACTATCGTCAGGCAGGTCCAAACGGAACGGTTCGATTGGGACAGAATATGGATCGCGCATTGGTTTTCGATATAGGAAAGTGAACCAGTCATGGAATTCCTGGACGGTACTGAACGGCCCTGCTTCTGGCATGGACTCGACGTGGAATGCTCTGTCATATAGAGGAGCTTGTGCAATGTTACCTATACGCGGAGAAAGAGTTATGGGCGCATTCAGAAAATGCAGAGGCCGTTGAGAGAATCGTACCTATGAATGATTCTGCCGGCTTCTGTTCAAGGTGGCGAAGGTTGCTGAAGATTGTCCGGAGCCCACAACAGATCGAAACGCGGTCATCAGGTTCCAGCTTGTCCCACACTTGCTCCAGAGTCTGTGCATGCAAATACTCCATATAAATGAAAGTTTGATCGCCATCCTCCCGCCACCCGTATATCTCTGGAACCGGGACATGATCTTTGAGGAGCTGGCCGAGAGCATAGAGGCACTGACCCTCTGAAATACTCACAGCGCTTCCCCATTTGACAAACAGTCCTAGATCCTTGAATATCACAGGAGGTGGTCGCACATGAGGGCCGGTTATCGAGAAAGCTTTTCTATCGTCTGGGCAGACTCCTGCGAGATGTTGGGCTTTGGCCTGCGAGCGTACCTCCTCCGGTGAGGGCAACTTGGTGAATTTTCTGAAAAATTGAGAATCTTTAACGTCAAAATCGGGAGATTTTGGTATCATCAGAGGCGTCAATTGTACGCGGTCTTGTTTGTTGAGTGCCCCGCATTTTGAATCGCGTAACAGCATATTGTTCGATCACAGAAAAAGTCGAGAGATAAATGTCAAACGGGCTGGTGCCTTGGTGCTGTTCGTTTGAAGTTACGGAGCATATGGTACATCGAAGGAAGTGAGTTTCGCAGCTGAGATAAGGACAGTTAAACCGCATTAGTTATAGTTTGTATTGTTGTCTTTCTGCCTTGTATCATGAGGCTACTGTGCATACATCGTATCCTAACTGAATCGGGACTTTAATTTCCAATTGATTCAAGGCATACTTTTTAGTAGCTAGTAGTTAATATAATCTAGCAGAGCTGGAGCACTACTTCAAGAAAACTACTAATCAACTGTGCAGAAGAAAATATTGCCCAAAACACGCTTTAGAATGCAGATCTTCAACGGTGACCCCGATCCGTTGCAATTCGAAAATTGGTATTAGAAGGCCTTTGATGGCATTTCTTTTCTTTGTTCCACAAAGGCATATATATGCCTCTTTAGCTAGCTGACTCTTTCCAGATCAACCAATCTATTCATACATTACCCCTCTCTCTCTTCTAAAGATTTCTATCCTTATTATATACCCCTCGGGATAGTGGTGATGTTTAGAAGAAATATATTTTCCCGTATCTATATGCCACCTTAAATTAAGATCCAGAGGACAAGGCGTCTAACAGAAGGATCAACTGTGCTCATACTTCGCTTCTCAGCCTAGAGATGTACCAAGGGTGAAATCTAGCATAGGTCGATCGATTCGAGATTCCTATTCGGGTAAAATGCCCTGGAGCAGTGAGTTGAAACCATCAGTCCATCCCATATTCCCATGCCCGATGTCATTCTTATCCAGGGTTCATACAGCCCGACGGGTGTCTCAACGAGAATCTCACAAGGGGTCCAGTCTGGACTTGGGAAATACTATATACGAGGTTGGACCGAGATATTTATATTGAAGTCGGGTGGGAATTAATCGCGTGCTGGAGGTTTGCCTGTCTGGAAGTAAATGCTTAACATAACGAGGATCCGGCAAGAAGTCTCACTAGCGCTTTAGATTCAACCAGAGCTTGACGTTATATTCCTGATAAATACTAGTCGAACCAACAGCTTTACACTTACGTATCCCCACTTCATCCTCACTTTCTTCACTTTCTTCACTTTCTTCACTTTCTTCACTTTCTTCACTTTCTTCACTTTCTTCACTTTCTTCACTTCTTCGCTTGGCGTTGAAACCATCACGTTGTTCACGAAGAGTAACCATATGGACGCCATAATGCCCGCGCCTACGCCAGTTATGGGCACAGATCTGGTTCCCCCTTTCCTGTGGTTGAGCCATCTCCAAACCCTCCTCTTCCCTCGACCTGGGGGCCAGCTCTCGGGTCGTTATTACATACACCTCCTGAGGCCGTTGGTTGCGCAGAGGGAGCCGTTGCTACGGAACCGTTTCCCCTGGATTGTCTGGAATCTGAATACCGTCGAGGCAGCGTTGATACAAGTGGTTGGGGTAGTGTGCGATGTGGAGTGCATCAACTGCCTTCGGGGTCAGGGCCCGTTTTCACAGTGCGTCGTGGTGGACGGTCTTCCCAGTCTCACATACTGTGCAAACTGCCACTGGGAAGGAAGACCAAACAGCCAGTGCATTGGCAACCGTCTTCTTCCTATTCTGCGTCATCGGGGAGCCCCTACCAACACCCGTCATAACCGTTTCGATAACGACTCTCTTCGCATCGACCTTCACTGACCCTCCGTGCCTTTGATTCCGTTACCTACCCGAAGTCCGAACGCACGAATGGCCCGGTTGACCTGATCCATATGGCCACCATCAGCCGCGGCCAGAATAAGGTTGCGTGCCGTTTTGTCATGAACGATAACCCGACAGCGTACGCATTGGTCTACCAAACCAAAGCAAAGAAGGATCTTGCCTACGCTCGCCTACAAGACCTTAAGGGCTTCTATGAGCGCGTTTGCGACGTAACTGACGATTTCCCTTCCGCGTCGTTCCCCGATAATGAACCATACGAGGGAACCTGGCAAACTGTCCTAGAATCAGCCTTCGATAGACAAACTTTTACCTACAGAGAACAATTCCCAAGCCAAGATACCCCTGCACAAAACGCGACTAAGCTCCAGTCTATCCCTTAGGTAGATATATACGATATCCTCGACACTTTTAGCAACGTCGCGGCTTATCGATGATGATATACCTACTGCGAGGGAGAAAGATAACATAATATTACTTCCGATACCTATATCCCTTCCTAGGGACGAGTAGGAATCGCGAAACCCTACTCTAAGCCTCTGTAAAATATAGAACTACGCTTCTGTATTTGCTAAATTAATAGATCCCCTAACCTTATAGGCCCTGTAGTATCCCTGCTACTAGCTAGTAAGGCGTTATAGCAATGTAACAGTAACACCGCTAACCTCGCTTGTATTACCTCCCTCGATCATACCGGATACTTTATTGAAGGAGACCTGCGTATTATACGCGCTATACGTAAAGGACTCGACGCGCCCCTTAACTCTATTTCGGATATCGAAAGCACCCTCAACTTGGTCCATGTTATTCGGCAAGATCTGCACCGCACAATCAGACGGCACCATGAGCAGTTGGAGAATTATTTGCATACATATGCCTAACTCTCTTCGCTTTATGCACCATGATTTACTCCATTAGCTTCATATAACTCGTATTGCTCATTGATTGAAATGAATTTATTATTTGGGCCAGCATCTACAGCGTTTGGAAATGGTGTAATTCCCGTAATTGGAAGCAGGTTAAAAGTTTGGCCTCTTCTAGAAAAATGTGGAGCTCTAACTTTCGATCTTTGTCTTGTCCATTAGTATCAGCTTCTCCTGCAACTTCAATTCTACAACATCAAAGCTTACACCAGCCTCCCCGCGCTCCAATTTGAACTATAGGCTTCCATTGCATTATTATATCTATCCAATGCCCCCATAAAATTATACCGCTTGGCATATACCCAATTCAACAATGCAGCGCTTCTCCGTATCGGCCGGGTTTATTCGCCAATCCACTCAACGTAGAAGCTTTTCGCGGCATTTTATCCCAGGACAAGTCCCGCCACAGAGTAACCGAGATTATTTGGGATAAGGCGCACTTACAGAGACGCTCACAGCAAACATGGGATACCTATGAGGGACATTAGCTGCTCCTTGGCGAGGACGAGCCCGGCAACATAAGAGAGTAGGCTAGGGAGTACGGCTCTCATGGCTGGGAGAAGATCTTTCAGCGATATCGATCCGAGAAGAAAGATTGGTGTCATATTTGGTTTAAGGAGGCCTGTGAGGGAAACCTCTTCTATCTTAGGCAGAGGAGTAGGGGCGTGGACAGGCCGAATCATGTTAGGCGCGGAGAACACCGCTAAGGAAGTGCTGGAAACATTATTAGGGCCCACTGCATTAGCAGAGAAATACCTTCGCCGATAATAGTGATTAAGATGCATTTCTATGCGGCGTCAACCAGTTTCCTACTCTAAAGAGAGTCACCATCACACCCGCAGCCCATGGTCATTTATTCGCTGCGCTATACCCAACTCATGATCCGCACTTTCCCCAAGAGATGCAACTATTTTATGCCACGGGGGTGGCTCTTTCCCACACTGGCAAATAATCTTACGACTACAATCACACTGAGCTCAGAGAATAGTAGTATGATGCATGCCAGTGCGAGGTCCACCGCAATACTAATCTCTAAAAAGCAGTTAGCTAAGTTAGCCCTCGGCCTGCTGGATCTTATCATGGTATGATCACTATCCAAATCAACAGATAAGGCGAACATATTGCGAATATGAAGTAAATAATTAGTCTTAAGGTTCATTGTGGTGGCAATGAGCGCAACCTCCCGCAACAATGTTATCTATCCCTACTATCTTCCCGCCTGCAATGCCTTGGCACTGTAACCTCAGCCTTCAGATTAACAGGCGCCGTCGGGACTCCGCCTGCAGAACAATAGCCGGCCCTATGAAATTGCTTCCTCCTCTGCCAAGTGCCAAGTCCAACAAGCCGGCATCTTGGCTTACCCCTCGGGGCCCTGCCAATCACACATCATTGCACTTTATCATCGCGTGATGGTCACGGACAGTCTGAAGAATAGATATAAAAACACCCTTTCTCTGGCTCAGAATGGGTATTGACTCGCGCATTACTTAACGATGAAGTGGCTTTTGTTGATCACCCACCTGTCTGTGGCCTTGGCCGAAGCTAGTCGGAAGAAGCCCCTTGTTTCACCGGTATGTACGCATGATGCATCCCCCCTCGTTATCAGGTCGTCTGACCTTTTAGGATGATTTTCCCTCTACGATTCGGTTGAAAGACCTTCTGAAGGGGACCCAACAGCTTGAGGATTTCGCTTACGCGTACCCCGAGCGTAATCGTGTCTTTGGCAGTGCAGCACACAACGATACTGTTGACTTCCTCTATCGCGAGTTGAAGAAGACCGGCTATTATAATGTGTGGAAGCAGCCACAGGTGCACACATGGACTACTGCAAATACTACACTGACCTTCGATGGCGAGTCCATCAAAGCGTCCGCCATGACATACAGTCCCAGCGCAGATGTTACTGCAGAGCTGGCAGTGGTCTCCAACCTCGGATGTAGTGCATCGGACTACCCGAGTGATGTGGCTGGTGGAATCGCCCTGATCAAGCGTGGAGAATGTACTTTCGGACAAAAGTCAGTGTTGGCTGCTGCGGCCAAGGCAGCTGCTGTACTTGTCTACAACAATGAGGCAGGGTCTGTTAGTGGAACGCTGGGTGGAGTAACCAATGAACTTGGCCCTTATTCCGCCATTGCAGGAATCTCTGATGTCGATGGCAAGGCTCTGCTCAGTGCGGCAGCGGAGGGCGCCGTTACTTTGGCTCTTTCGATAGACAGCAGAATCGAGAATCGCACTACATTCAATGTGATTGCAGAGACAAAAGGCGGTGATCACAATAACGTCGTCTCACTGGGAGGTCACACCGACTCAGTCGATGCCGGCCCGGGTATCAACGATGATGGCTCTGGAATCATCAGCAACCTCGTGGTAGCAAAAGCGTTGACGCGATACTCTGTCAAGAATGCCGTGCGATTCTTCTTCTGGACAGCAGAGGAGTTCGGCCTCTTGGGTAGCGAGTACTACACATCGCACTTGGACGCTGAGGAACTGGCGAAAATCAGACTTTACCTCAACTTCGATATGATTGCCTCGCCCAACTACGCCCTCATGATCTACGATGGTGACGGAGATGCCTTCAACCAGACTGGGCCAGCGGGTTCTGCCCAGATTGAGGCATTGTTCGAGAACTATTTCAAATCCAAGAAGCTCTCGTACATCCCAACCGAGTTCGATGGCCGATCCGACTACGACGGTTTCATCTCTCGTGGAATCCCTGCCGGTGGACTTTTCACTGGTGCTGAAGGCCTCAAGACCGAAGCACAGGCAAAACTGTTCGGAGGCCAAGCAAATGTATCCTACGATGTGAATTATCATGCTGCCGGTGATGACTTCAAGAATCTCAATCACGAGGCATTCCTGATTAACTCGAAGGCTACGGCTTTCGCTGTTGCCAAATACGCCAATAGCCTTGCTTCGATCCCCCGACGGAATGCAACATCCACCAAGCGAGTGGTCAAGAAAAGAGCACCCCGGTCGCATGCGCACACTAAGAAGACCGGATGTTTCCATTCTCTGGTCGAAATCTAATAGGTGCGTTTACCTATCACTGATCGCCAATGTTGATATAAGCATAAGCAAGTATCCAATTCAATGCATCTTTCTCTGGCCGATTTCAATTGTTGTTTACGGCGAGCAATCACATATTCTGTCAAAATTAACTTGGGGATTTTGGTACCCAAGACTAGAGATATTCAGTAGGTACATACAGGTACATAATTACAGAGTACTTGTCCAAGGAATTATTGGTATAGTATCCAAATTACACGGTTCTATAGAATGCTCTAGCTGGCGTAGAAGAGGAGAGATATGGGCCATGTAAATGGCGGACCTGTGAATTACTAGATGCAGTATCTAATACTTCGGCGTATAAACTAGTTATATATTAAATTATACTATATATATTTATATACATAATATTAAAAATCTGGAATTATTAGTGTAAGTATATAAAATATACAAATTTATGTATGATAACTGACTAAAATAACACGAATCCGCTCTTTTCCAATCTGCGCGGACATAGCTGACTAAACAATATATGCAACCTTCCAAGGTTGGAAATTGGATGGGACCCGCCCACAGAGCGGTCCGTTGATTTTTCCGGGGTTCAATACCATGTATTGAACCGCATTCGACATTAACTATAAGAGCACTAGTGCCACTGTTGGTCAGCAATTGTTCGGTAGTAGGCTAGTGGTACTAATAATAAGACTAGGGTTATCAACGCCTTGTCTAGGTTTGTGAGCACGCGGGGGATTAAGGAAGAGTTTATCACCACTCTATCAGTTGAGTATCCGAGTAACCTTGAGGGTTAAGGAAGGAAAGACGGAGCCAAAAGGGGGTTGAGATAGTATGAGGCCTGTGTTAACCTTTAGCTTCATAAGACGAATGAAATATGATATTGACAGTCTTCTCCACCTAGCTCACCCTGCCTACACCCAGTTGCGCGGTATTCAAGCGGCTCCCCCCTATCTCACCAACATCCACCGAACTATTGACCGCATATAAGCCACATACTAAACGCGGTCAATTCTCAAAGCGTCTTTGGCTTTAAAGCGGCATCATCTTTTGTGTTAAGGTGAATGTGGGTGATATGGGGGAGAGGTGAGAATAGGGTAAAAAGAAAAAAAGGTGAGAATACTGACCCCTGGCGCTCTCACCTTCACTCTACCTAGTCTGCGATGATATATAACAGCTCAAGGGTGCATCTCTGGTTCTGCTATTCTTATCATTTTTTTAACTAACCAGTCGAAAGGCATGCGCCCAGAAGCCATATAAAGGAAACTTTTGCAAGACGAACGCACGTTGCCGCCATGAAACGCCCACTGGTGAACGAAAACTGTTATTTCTTGGTATTTTTATAGTTTGTACTCCGTATGTTTGTTTGGCATATTTAATCGATGGAAGGGACATCGAATACCAGAAATGCGGTATGACAGGGTAGGAAAAAAAAAACAAATATGCAGAATTGCCCCTGACAGGGATCAGAATGAGCTGTTCACTTCCAGCCATCAGCCACTCCTCAAGGCCTTCGACCAGTAGCAAAGCCCAGTACAAGATAGAAGGAAAGGTACATTAGTGTGCAGCGACGTGGTGTGCAGTCATTCGTCGAGGCCATAACTAACACAAGCCATTATCACTAAGAGCTGTTGCATTTTGTCCTTGTCTACTTTCGTATGTCCAGNTTTTTTTTTTTTTTTTTTTTTTTTTTTTTTTGCGATTCAAGGCCAAGGCGTAACGCAGTGGAACCCTTTTATTTTTGTATGTTATGGAAAGATCCAATAGGAAGCCGACTGAGATATCTTTTTTGTCACAGCACTGCTTATCCTCCAAATTCTTCGACGTATAAATGCGGTATTGGTAGTCTAGCTTTGGGCGGGAAAAAAAACTCACCATTCAATTATCATCAAAGCCCATGGCACCAAACAACGCGAAAGAAGAAACAGAGGAAGCATGGGGGAGACACCGCGAGGAGCTCAAGTCCTTGTGGCTAGAAAAGCGGTTGACAATGAAACAGGTGCAAGACTACATGTCCCAGATGCACAATTTTTGGAAGGAGTCAGTTGGCGACGATTCTAGAAGCTTGTTGAAACCAACTAATACATGGCTGACTAGGGAACATCAATACTCTCGACAGTTTAAGAAATGGGGATTCAAGAAAAATCGGAAAGAAAACGAGTGGATGTTTGTTGCGAGTCGTGGCGAGAAGCGGAAACGCGATGGGAAAGATTTCGGCCCTGTCTGGATGCATGGTCAACTTATTCCTGAACATAAGGTCAGGAAAGAAATTTCTCGACATGTAACTTTGTCCTCTCAATACTTCGGAGACCTTGGTGAGTAATGCTAGCTTATGGCTTTTTCGGTCAAATTTCTAAATCTTCCAGACCCGAAGACCCCTGATGGCATTCTCGTGGGTACGCCTAGAGCAGAGGTAGAAGCGGTCTACGATGGTGCCACAGACTGGCCTCAGAATGAAAGCTTTGATTTTGCGACCCTTGGGGATATACCCCTGGCTCCATCGAGCTACGAAGGTCTTACATGGCAGTCTGATCTACAAGAATTGATCCCATCAGGGTTTGGGATTTTCTCTCAGTCGAATGAGCTGCCAGCTGTTTTCTCGCCCCCCGGAAATTTTGCCTTGGAGCAAATCGTTTCTCCCAGACTATCGCCATCTGCCGTCACCAATGACCATGAACAATCTCTCAGTTCCGACCGTATGATCGAGGAAGGCCTTCAAATTATCTTGACACAATTTGGTGGAGAGAGTAGCAGCAGCTGCAGTGATTTGGCTACAGCCTTGCAATCCGTTACGGCAGGAACAGAAGACGCCTTTCAATCCGCCTCTTCGAAGAATTATTCCAATTATCTCCAAACATATGTGTACCTGGCATCTAATAACCTCCTCTCTGAGTTTTCAACAAAAAAGCTCGTTTTACTTATCGCTAAGACCCATTCTCACTCAATGTTGAAGGCGCTTCTGGAGTCAATTAGTACAAAGATTGAAATATTCATGAGCACTCTTCTGGTCAGTGCAGCAGCCTTGGGAGACACCAAAATTTGTCGAATGCTCATCGAGGCCGGGGTAGACTTGGATGCCCACAGTGGACTGGCCATGCGGACAACAGCACTTCACCGAGCAATTTCAAATTACCGGACTGAATGTGTAAAAATGATACTAGAAGCTGGTGCAGACCCAAATTTGGTGATTGACAGCGAGACACCCTTGCATAATAATGCTGGCTCGCGTCTGTCATATCAGTCAACATTCGAGATTATGAATCTATTACTTCAACACGGAGCCCGTGTGAATCCACCTCAAGACAGCGCCCGACCTACTCCGTTGCAGCTTGCCGTGCAAAGCGGCCATCCTGGGCTTGTGCGGCTCCTTCTCGAAAAGGGAGCAGATCCCAACCTCTTCACAACTTTCAAAATTGGCACAGCTCTACAGATGGCGTGCACAATGTCAAGAAACGCTACAATTGTTGAGCTTTTGATAAAGGCAGGGGCTGACGTTGACTCTTACTCTGGCTACAAATTTCATGTCCGGGAGAAGAAAGACTATATGGATAGTGATGCAGATCTTTCCTCAAGTGAAATGGATGAGGAGGATGATGATTTGTTGTTTGGAAATTCAGTCAAGTCTCCTATTTTGTTAGCAGCCGAAAATGAGAATTGGGAAGCGGTGCAACTTCTATTGGAAGAAGGGGCTGCCATCAATGCTGGTCTCAAAAAGAGACCTTCCAAAATTCTCCGAGAAGAACTAGAAAACCTCGAAACACCAGTTCTCACTCCACTGCAGGCCACTGTTCGGGCAGAAAATATCACTATGACTCGCATGCTCTTAGCAAATGGAGCTCATGTTAACCAGAGGATGGAGGGCAAACACGGTTTTACAGCGCTTCAAATTGGTGCCACAGTTGGCAATGAACGGCTCGTTGACATCCTTTTGCGAAAGGGGGCGGCTATCAATGCTCCTGCTGGTGTCTATTATGGAAGAACGGCACTTCAGGCTGCTGCAAGTCACCTGGATACAAGACTGATGAGTCTCTTACTTCAGGAAGGAGCAGATGTCAATGCTCCCCCGGCTCGGTCTGGAGGTAGGACTGCTCTACAGATAGCAGCCGCGGCAGGTAACATCGAAGGCGTCAGAATGCTGCTTGATGCAAAGGCAACTGTCAATATCGACCCTAGTCTCACTGGGGGGGTCACAACCCTTGAAGCGGGCTTCATGGCTACAGATCCGGTAGTAAAAGACGAGATTATACACCTTCTGCTGCGTGCTGGTGCGTCTCCTGGGGCACACCAAATCGGCCAAGAGCAATATGCACCTCTTCACTCTGCTGTCAGACGCGGTGATTTGAGCATGGTAAGAAGACTTTTGGAGAGAGGAGTAAGCCCAAACATTGGTTTCTGCGATTCCGAGGCGAAGAAAAAAACCCCTTTGCAGAGAGCTGCTTTCCAAGGGAATGACAATATCGTCCAGGAGCTGATAAAGCACGGCGCAGACGTCAATGCTTCACCTTACTGGGACGGGGGGCACACAGCCTTGCAGGCTGCAGCTTTGATGGGGCATGAATCCACAGTCAAGATCCTTTTATGCTTTGGCGCAAACATCAAGTCAGAAGTTGCAAGTGTCAATGGAGTTTCTGCGATAGAAGCTTCTGTTCGTGGAATGAATGATCTAATTACTCGACTTCTTCTCGAAAACGAACCTGACGCTATATCTTCTGACCCTATCACAAAATGTCGAATCATAGGTATAGCTTTGGAATCTTGGAAATGCGATGTGTCTCTGCTGGAGCTTCTTCTCAAGGGGGGAGCATATGCTGGAGAAACAGCAAGCTCTGTTTCTATACCATTTCTTCAGCAGGCAATACATATACACGGTTTCCAACTGGCTGAATGTCTAGTCTCTGCTGGCGCCAATGTCAACCATTACTGGAAATGCAAGGTTGATCATTTGGTCACTCCCCTTCAATCTGCCGTGTGGATGAAGCATGATGACATTGTCAAATTGTTGCTTCAAAGGGGCGCTGATGTCAATGCCCCAGCAAACGAGAATGGTGGACAGACCGCGCTACAAATAGCAGTTTCCCAAAACAATCATGCCATGGTAAAGCTCTTGGTTAGTCACAAGGCAGATGTCAACGGTATGCCAAGTCCAGTCCGAGGCCGATCAGCCCTTCAAGAGGCTGCAAGCCGAGGTTTCGTGCAGCTTACTCAGTACCTACTGGATTGCGGGGCAGACCCTAACCTACCAGCAGCCCGACTTGGGGGCTTTACTGCGCTACAAGGAGCCGCGATCGAGGGAAAATTACGCATAGTGATCATGCTGCTTCAAGCTGGGGCACATGTCAATGCAGCGCCCGCTATTGAACAAGGACGCAGTGCAACTGAGGGCGCTGCAGAGAATGGCAGACTTGATACCTTGCATCTCTTGCTGAAACATCATCCTGACACGGAAGAGTTTGATATCATCAGAAAACGGGCCGCCAAACTAGCTCTAGCCAATGGCCACTTGGCTATTGGGAGGTTTTTGCTGGCATATCGCAAGAATGCCTGGAGGGCATGAGCGGTCTTTTTGGCCGCTTCGCGATGGTATGCACTGAGGTTTGATCTCGATATAGGCTTGGAATCAAAATCGTATAGTCCTTCTTCTCTCCCTATATGGTTAACGAAATAATCGAATGAAAAGTACGTTTACAGGTAGATCCTGGCCTCGGTAGAACGTATTAAGTACTAATGATGAAAAGGAAAAATGGCCGACAAAACAATAAAAACAGCACAGAAGAACGAGTAAGATGAAATAGAAAGATTTAGTTAAGAGGACCAAATTAAGCAGAAGCAAGGTCGACGCCAGCTGGTCAAGATACGTTATGACGTGTGGGAAAGCTTGACGCTTCCACCACGAACACAACGGAAGAACAGTAAAGAAGAACACACAAGTACATGGAAGAGCGATAGAAAGTCAAGAAAGCATACAAATTTACTAAAATCAAGCTACATCATACTATTGATAGGGATCTCCATGCACGCCAACTCAATGTCCAAACTTCGAAGACTTTACACCTAATCATTCCCACCTCTCCTTTTCCACTCCCACTTCTTTCCCTCTCTAACATAATTCCCTGTCTCCTCATTACAAAATAAAAATCATAACCCTTCCTGTCCGCCACAAGCAACTCCTCCCTGCAATTTTTAAAGCTCCTCTCCGCCTCAAACCATCTCAAAAAAATAGACTTCAACCCAGCAAAGTAACCATTAGCAACCACATTCATCCAGAATAAAGCCGTCAGCTCGCCCTCCGAAAACTCCGTTGTCCATCACCCTGTAATAGACGGACGGAAGTACAGACCCTCCGTGCAATGGGGTAGTGGGATTTGACTAGTGGCAGACCAGTTTGTCGGAGCAGTATTCGCAAAAGCTTAATTCTGGTAAGAGGGGATGCAATGCCATCTACCAAGAGCTAGACTGTCGCGATAACAATTGCAAATAACCAATTTTCTCCGTGTGTAGTTCAGGAACTTGCGGATACTGGGGGTATGCTTCTGTGCGTGAAGATGTGCTATGAACGGGGTCGATGAAATGGACAAGGTGCGGCCTTGTAATGACGAAGTCGCAGGCGTGTTCTAGGGGTTCTGAGCACTCTGAGATCTATTCGCTCAATATAGTAACGGCTTAATGAATTATTTGTCACTCCATTACTATGCACTTGGTATTACTTTTAGATAATCAAATAAGCCCTGATAGTTGGCTCGAATGCAAGCTCGGGAAACCACTGCGTCATCGACTAGCGGTGTCTAGCAAGCCCAGCATGGGTTTCCTCTCTTGTGAGGATGTGGCGGTAAGTGTAAAAAAACGAGTATAGTCGTTTATGTTGAATACCAAGTCAGGATACATGGTTGAAACCGAGTATTATACCTCGAAAATCATGCGACAACTGGCACCAGGCATACATACCATACAAAAGTGCATAATATAGTTAGTCATCGCTATCCGCACAGATTGTAGAAGTAGTTAGCGGGTTTCATCATTTTTAGTTAGTTAGAGAATCATATATCTGCCGTTGGCTATGAACCATTATCTAGAAACGGAACATCTAGCTAGCCAATGATATCTCACGTTTACCACCCCAGCTTCGGGTTGGTAATCAGGTTTCCGTGAGTCTCTATATGTAGTCTTCTTCCATATAGAGCCCTCTTCCGTCTGGGGAACTACTGCGTATGGAAAATTACTACGGTATAGAAATCATCTTTGGACTGTCAACCACAGTTCGAGTGCAATCAACATTAGAAGTCTGAGAAGACAGGTCTAGGGAGACTAGGTGGTCTGGAAAGATCGAGTAGTCTGAGAAGACTAGGCAGTCTAAGAAGAACCAAGTAGTCCTAGAGCTTCTCCAAGGTGGAGCAATGAGTAGTTACATCATCGTATCAGAAGCAGGACTGAACAGGGTCTTGAAAATCCCCATAATACCATTTTGATTTTTGGCTCATAGCAACATCACCATATCATCCTATCTATCCAACTGCAGCGATTCGAGCCGGAAGCTAGGTTACGGACATCCACAGCGACTCAGGGTTGCCAGCTCAAAATGTGAGTGCTGTGTACGCCATATTTGATCCACAAGCCTGTTTGGAATCTTATAAGGCTTATAGCCAACGTCAGTGTAGCCCGAGACGGTGAAGCCGGAAGATTTCCCTTTAGCCGAAGACGAATCAGGATGGGGATTTTCCATACCACGAACCCGAGACGATTCGATCAATGAAGTCAAGAATCAATCAATTCTCACTATGGAGTCAAATGTTGCCTTGTATCACCCTGAGCCGGAAGCAATCAGCAATTTGTTATTTAACTATGCCATCTTTGAGGGTTCTTCAGCTCCCAGTCATCATCAACTATACTCTCTCTATTCGCCCGTCACAACAAGTGCAGCTACAAATGTGGCGGAGTATACGACTCCATACAAGGAGATTGACCAAGATGGGGTTAGTAGCCTATTTGAATGCCAGCGTTAACTTTGGATGCATTACCCCTACGCCACCCAATCTGTGAGCGCAAATGCAATGTATCTAGTTCATTCAAATAATAGTTCCCATGTCCTTGCTCTCATCATATAGTTCTCATGTCTTTCCAGCCCCTTCTCCCACAGTTCCAAATGGCGATATATAAAATAATTAACTGTCCAATAGCACCAGACTCCTGATATTTACCTCAGTCCATTTCTCAAGACATAAGCACAAGGCGGCTCGAGGTTCTTCCCAGCAAAGGATAAATGTTGCTACAAGATCAATATAGCAAAGCAAATGGGCAAGGAAGGACTTAATAAAGCTTTTGTATGTGTTGAAGAGCTAGCAAGTACTAATAGAAAGAAAATACAAGAATTTTACGTATACCAACGTAAGACCCACTATAAGTCAGGACCATGGATGAATGTCAGTGCCACAATCGTCGTGGGACTATTCCTTATTTCCGTCTTCAGCGGTCTCCGATGCCTTATCCCCGCTCCTATCCCTGTCTGATGATGCAATCAATTTGGCGTTTTGCTTGGTAATGTACAAATAACCAAAAAAAAACTCAAGCAGACTTTTCTTATTACCGAATTTAAGAATCAAGTCAATACTAATTCTAAAAGCCCCCGATTCTGCGTGAGGAATCAGTGACATCCAAAATCATCTAAATGCCTTCCATTCAAGGCTCCACGGTTCTCATCTTCGGGGGCTCTTCTGGTATTGGATATGGCGTTGCTGCCAAATGTCTCACCGAGGGAGCCAAAGTCCACATTGTATCTTCCAACGCAGAACGTATTGCCAAGAGTGTCGCGGGGTTGAAAGGGGAAAGCCCTGGCTTTGAAGTTCAAGGACACGTCTTGGATCTTTCTACAAAAGATGTTGAGAGAGGCTTAGAGCAGGTCCTTTCCGCAGTTGGCCAAATTGATCATATCGTCTACACCGCCGGCGATAGTCTAGCGCTTCAACCTTTGGACACCATTGATCTCGAAGCAATCCAGCGGGCAGGCCATATTCGATTTGCAGTCCCGCTCTTGCTTGCTAAGCTCGCTCCTCGATTCTTGACCCCCGGCTACAAGTCGTCCATCACCTTGACTACCGGGAGTGGTTCTCAAAAGGCATTCCCCGGGTGGTCATTGATGGCTGGCTACCTCACCGGTCTCCATGGGCTGACCCGAAACCTCGCCCTAGACCTGAAGCCGCTTCGGGTCAATCTTGTCAGCCCCGGCGTTGTTGAAACCCCGCTCTGGGGTGCAGAGGGAGTACCTGAGGACTTTAAGAATGGTACGACTTTGGGCAAGGTCGGTGTGTCCGAAGAAGTTGCCGAGGCTTACGTCTACTTGATGAAGGACACGAATGCCACAGGCAGTTGTGTTAGCACCAATTCTGGATCACTTTTGATGTAAAGTATCTCATTTGAATTAAGATTATATCGAAGATCCATGTACAAACGGACCTGTTGACTTAAATTCTCGTAAATGCTCTTGTATATGAACTACTATGCTTCATCGAGTGAAAACCATCAGGATCCGTTGAAAGCTATGAATCGGAAAAACCTGAAAGTCCCACCTCCATGATTTAGCACGCTCATGCAATCCGGAGGCCAGGGATTTGTACTTATTCAAGGTGGATCATCACAAGCCTCCGGTGGTCCTGACTGACTGTAATTTGTAAGCAGCTTGCCCCCTACCTACCCGTGGACGTAAGCCCACTTGTTAGGGTTTTGGTGGGCTCCAACAACATGATAATTCCATCCTTCATAATCCTTCGAGATTGGATAGCTTGCCCTGGTTGCGCTCGCCGATTTCTGATGTGTACTTCTGGAGAGAGAATTGTATTGTCTATTCGGCTGATCATCGGTCTCATGGACTGTATCTGATGAAAATGTTACGGTCACGGGCATGGCCGGTGACGCATCGCACGAAGCGGTGGTTTAGCGCGTGTACGATCAACAAAATGTCCCGCACTAGGCTGAACAGGGAAAAGGTTGTTAGGTCGACGTCCTCATGGCTGCAGGTATCCTAGCCTGCGGTGTGGGCGAAGCCGAGCTGGGCTGGGGGTGATCACGTCGCGCCATGAGTAGGCGATTTCTGGGAAGCCGTGGAGGATTCTCAATGGTTTATTGTTGTGTGGGGGTTTGCCGGCTTTCAGGATGTGAATGTTTAGATCCGCGGTTTGGATGTTGTGGAGGGGGGTGTTGTAGTAGAGCCATTGTTGGTATTGGGAACTAGATGAGATATCAAATGTTATCTATAGAAAGGTCCATTTCACAAATTAAGCCTTTCTTCGCCTTCTTCTGCCGTCAAGAGCAAATATCTATTGAAAAAGACCACCTAGAATGACAATCTGGAGATATAACTGGAAAGACTAACCAGAAAGATGTTACAAGGCCGCAAACGCGGCCGACTATTGATGTGTGGGATATATGCGAAAAGGTAAGCAGTAACTTACTGCGAAGTACAACATATGTACAACATAGTTTAGATAGTTATACCGAGGCTATTATACCTGCGAAACCCCAGACATAATATATAAGCGATGCATAGATATGCATAGCAATGCATAAAAAAAGTTGGTCCACCAAGGCGGTAAACCAAGTTTTTGTGCCTGACCCATCAAAGTCATGACGCAAGTTCCTCTCGATCTCGGATCTGTCTGGATCTGCCTTGATCGGCTTCGATCTTTTTTTTTTCCTGCTTTCTCCTTTTTTTGTTGAGCTCTCCTTACCTGGCATTGCCTTCGTGTCTCCTTGTTTTTGACTGGCCCCCGACTTGGTCGATCCCTCCCAAGTTGTTTCCCCTCAACTTCTCAGTTTCCCAGTTCCCACTTCTTATAGCTACCCATCGCATCATCATTTGGAGATCCACATTCCCTTCATCCACTTCAATTTCGGATCCCGGCGCTGCACCAAGCAGTGTCCGGCCATCCGATCTTTGACCCGTTCTAGTCCATAAAAAGGCCCCCAGACTTTGAACAATGGTCTTCGGTCGTCGCAAGAGAAGTGCTTCTGCTCATCACCAGGTGTGTTTCACGCGTTGAATACCAAGGATAGCAGATTTCCCTATCTGTAAATAGGCCCCGTTGCAGCATTTGATGCAATTCAACGGGTACCTGCAACCTATGCATGAAAATGAAACTGACAGCTCCCCTTCCTTCCCGCTAGCCACTCTCCACACCCGCCGCGCAATCCGCCCAGTCCGCCGCCAGCCATGCTTTCCTAAAATCCCAACCCTCCTCAGCCAGCTTGTCCTCCGCAGCGGCGGCAGCAGCGCTCCGCAACTCCACACCTACCCCGACCCCCATTGAAAATGTCCAGACAAAGCGCATGGTCCAGCGGCGGAGCTCGACCCACTCACAGATTAACCCCGTTGGCGGTCGCCGCTCGGCCAGCGTGAGTGCGACACTTCGCCGCTCCAGTAGCAATAGTTCGATGAGCGCACGCACCTTTCGCGACCAGTCCCCTCATCGCCCAGCTACCAGCTCCGGGCCTGTCGGATCCGGACCAGCACCCATCGATGTGCCTCCATTACCTTCTCTCCCGACACAGTTTTCGCCGCGGAAACTGCCGAACCGACGTGCGATGAGTATGGAACCATCAATGCGTTCGCCTCCATCGTCTCCACCGCGCGCTGGGATGAGGGGCGTGGATCGGGAACATGCGCGAGGGTCTCCGATCCAGCTAGCTACGCATCAACGTATAACTAGTCTTGGGACCGTTCCAGAATTGGAACGATCGGCGAGCCGGAATTCGGTGAATTTCTCGTACCCCATGGGCTCGCGACCTACCTCGCCGACTGCAATGTCTGAGAATAATCCGATGAGCCTCCACGATGCTATTCAAGAATCGATTGCTGAGGTATCTGACAAATATCCAAAAGGGAAGCCTAGAGCACAGTTATCTGGTGATCTGGAGGAAAGCCCTGTTGCAGACAAATATGGTCCTCTGGCTGGCACCGCAGGTGCTGCAGCTCACCCGGTTGGCGTGCCGAAGGACAGCCCAAGTTCGAATGTTCGGAGTGGAAACGTGCGAAATTCGTTTATAGAGGCTGATGCTCTAGACCATTATACTGGTACCACAGTGCCTGCTGTGACAAGCGTGGAAAGTGAACACCCATCCTCCCGAGTCCTTCCTGAGCGGTGGCCATCCACCGTTCGAGAAGAGCCCGAGGATGGCGATACGAATATCGAAGATATCCCTATACGGCAAGGCAGAGACCGCACAACGAGTGCATCGCCAACTACTGATCATGTAGAGGCAGCACCAGTGCCCTCGTCACCCTCATCGGAACTGCAAATAGGGCAGCAGCCACATCGTCAATCAAGCAGCCCAGGTCGAACTGCTCGTTTTTCCAGATTGCTCTCTGTAGCTGGAGCCGGTGATCAAGTTCACCAGCCTCCGCCCAGATCAGTATCTCCTGTCAAATCGGCCTTGAAACACCCAAGGGGAAGCTCTTTATCGCCAGATGGAAGGGTTGGGGCAACCGGTCGAGTCCTACCATCGAACGAACTATCAGATGGTACCTCAGTCGCTTCTGACGAAGGGTCCCGGGTGGACACCAGGAAGAAGCCTGCCAAGGTCAGTTTCGATGATGAGGCTGAAGTCGTCAATATAGCAGCCAGCCCTCCTACCTCGCCAGAAGAATATACGCCTGATTTCCCGTCCGGCGGCAAAGCCAAATCTCCCATGAATTGGCTTGGTGTTGGCAAAAAGAAGTCGCCCGCGGAGTTTGCGAGCGATGATGACTGGGATGTAGTCATCAAACCCCGACAAGTCCTTCCATCTTTCGGTAGCATTCGAGGGAGCCGAGGTGGTCCCCTCAAGAGATCACCAATCCCAGATTTCAGTGACAATGAGTCCAGCTCTTCATCTGCATCTGATATGGCGCCAAGGCCGGATATGTCGCTCCCAAATGAATACTTCCAACCACGCGGTTTGAGCGCTCTGGAGCAGTTGTCTCTCAACGGCAGCTTGCCGACTTCGCATTCGGATACCAACAAACGAGAGGATACAGTCACCGATGATGACACTGAGAAACAGCCATATTCTAGCGTGAGCTCAAAATTGTCCGTGCCTGACATTGCTGTCGAGCCTGCTACACCCCCAGCAGATGGAACCAATCAAAGTTTCGATACGAAGAGATCCAGCATGGAACAGTATAGGATTCCGGGTGGGTTCCCGCCTTCCAGCATAGACCGCACTCTCGATTCGACTGCAAAGAATACTAGCGCCCAGGCCGTAGCGAGCGCCCTTCCAAAGCTGGATGACGTGGATACTGAGGAGGAGTCTGGTGATAGCGTCTACAGCGATGCAGCGGAAGACATGGACGGTGATGGGTTTGGATCCATCAATGCAATTGTCGATAGCCGGTCAGCCCCTAGGTCGGCACCGATCGAGGAGAATGCGAGCGAATCTCGGGACGCAACGCCAAGGCCTATCGGTAGAGCCGCCATCGTGGATAGTCAATCACAAAATGTGACAGGTCAACCACCCGAAGAGCGTTCCGTGACACCAACTCAAGATTCGGTCAACCGCCTGGCAGAGGAATTCCCCACCTCTTCGGTTGGCCATGGACTTGGTTCTGCATACCCGCCAGTGCCAATCCAGTCGCAAACTCCCAACGTGACTGCTCAGAATGCCAACGTCCAAGCACAGCGCACTATGCGGCCCCGCCCTATCTCGGTGGACGTGAATGGCGCGTCTCGGGATCCTCGGTGGTCGAGCAACGATACCTCCCCGCGAGGTAGCAAGGCTAAACCACGTCCAATGTCTCTTGGTCCGACTTTCCACAATTTAGGAGGACAAACAGGTATACCTGACACTCTCCGCCGGAAAATGTCGAATGGAAGTGATTCCTCGAGCAGCTTCAAACGCTCTTCTCCGCGTTCAGATACACACTCCATGCGACGGACAATGAGATCTGGTGCTGCTGGTGCTAACGTTCGAGTCCAATCTCCAACAGAGCGCAATGAGTCACACCTTGAAAATCGTCCTCTTTCATCTGGCTCCTCGAATGGCACAATGCGCAAGACTCTCCGAGGGCCTACTGGAGGTGAGCGATATTCCTTTTTCTCGACGAACAAGAAGGCGCCACCGAGAGCCAAATTCACCAAGGCGCCCCCAAAGTCGGCGCGTGCAAGTCGGTTCGCAAATTCAGATGGCGAGGATGAAGCCCGGCCCCAGGTCTTCACCAGTCGATTCGCAGATTCGAGTGATGAAGGTGACCCTGGACGTAATAAGTTACGCCCTGTCCGCGGTATCCCCCGTCGCCAAGGTGCTGACGATGGTGACTCGACAGAGTTGGAAGATAGCTCAGAAGAAGGCGCCCGGCAGCAAGCACAACCAGTACTTGCATCTCAGACAATGGCCTCTGCATACGGGTCCCGCGGAAAAAATGCACCAAATATGTCTGGAATGGCAGCTGTGGCCAAACAACGTGGCATGTCGCAGAGAGACTTGGAGGAGTTCATCATGGCGCCTCCCGGTGGTCAGAAGAGAGGACTTCTCACCCGACTTGGCATCAAGAAACCCAGGAACTCGGAACATGGATTTCGCGAAGCTGGCGTCGAGAGCCCCCTAGAGCGGTCCCGTCTGGAACTCGATCAATTACGGAGCGAGGGCATGATGAATGGGAACCACGGCATCACAACAACCACAGTTTCTGCCGGGAATCCTGAGCCGACTCGTTCATCTAAGCTAGTGAAGAGAAACTCTAAGCGCCAGTCGACAGGACCAAACTCTTGGCCCCTTCACTCCAACAACACCAAGGAAGAAGAACCTCTTCAGCCAGTCGTGGAACAGCCATACAGCGCCCCGTCGTATGCACTCCAATCACAGGATCCCGTGCCGGCAACAAATGGTGCAGGCGCAGCACAAAATGGAAGCATCGTTGTCAATGGGGATGATGATGCTCACAGTGCATCTCCGGTTGCAAAGATATCCGAGGCACCCCGCGACGGACCAGATCCCAACAATGGCGGCACCTCTGAAGTCACGAACCCCGATGGCCATGGACTTTCGGCGCGCGAGGTTGTAATCGCTGGCTCAGGACGAAAGAAACGATTTCCTCTTCTCCGGAAGGCATTCGGTCTACGCGATTGATCTTACCCCGCGGACCTGAACTGTCTTCTTGTAATCATCACTCTGAGTAAGACGATTGAACAAATACCCTTGTTTCACGCTTCAGCTCTAATTCTTTTTAATTCCCTCTTCCCTTTCCTTTCTCCTTCTCTCTTCACACTTTTCTGTGAGGGAAGACTTGTGGCTTATGATGGCTACTGTTGTCTTTCCTTAAAAATCGATTCTATCTTCACCGATATCTAATCTTTAATGACTGATATACGCCCCTTGGTTTGCTTCTTCTGGCTCACCCTTTCCTTTCTTTCTCTTGTTGTCTTGGCTGTGGCCTGTATGCCACTTTCCTCTCTCACTCACTTTTGGAAAACCTTCTTTGACCCAAAATTGGGTATGACACTCTCGCTCTTACTTCTTCTTCTTCTTTCCTTCTATTTCTTTTTGATCTTCCGGTGTGGCCCATTGGAGTTCTTCGCTTCCATGATACCCTCGTTTTTCCTCCCCACCTTGTATTATTGACGTTCTTTTATATCTCAACCCTGGTCCCTTTTTAGGCCGAGTGAGCTCTAAAACGAGATAGCGTGTCGTCTTGGCTATTTTCAGACTTGTTGTTTTCATAGATTTGGTCAACAAGAGACACAATATGATCTACTTAATACTTCTGTGATATTTTGCATCTCGAGCCAGTAAATGCTGTGCTAACAATAATAATCTTGTTGTACTGATCTTGGGGAGATGTTATACTATTTTCTGTGCTTAGCGATATATTTCTGGCATACGAGTTGGGATTCTGATTCTATATATTCGACCACAGATCCACTGCGTCTACATGCCAATTCTAAATCCCTAAGACATTCGACAACGATTTTTGCATTTAAAGCGCTTGATGATGAAAAAAATAACCATGGTAGAATCTTGCTGAGTATTATTCATAAGGATATCCCCCCTCTCCCTGTATCAAAAAGGTCTTCATTATCACGAGACGCCGAACATTCCCGTAGTTCATACTGGCCCTGTAAGAGTGCATCTCGAATAGCACGCTGGTGCTTTCTGAATTGGATAGTGCCCGTCTCCATTCCTGCCAATACATCAAAGTGAAACTGACGATGTTCATATTTCATCTGTTCGGCAAATGATTGCTGCTTTAGGGAATGTACATGGGCATAGAGATAGGAAATTTGGCAGGCCAAGTGAAGTAGCAACATAGCATCATCACTAGGACAGTCTAGCCAGCTCTCAATCAGTGCATCAAGGAAGCCTGGTAGTGGTGGGAATGACACGTTCTCGTGTGAGTCCGCTGTCAACGGCGCATCGCCAGAAGGTGAGTCGGCTATCAGAGGGAACTTCCACTCCTCAGCCGGGAGAAGGATAATTATTGTCTTGCTGGTCGGAGAAACGAGTCGCTTTTGTGGGAGTTCCACTTTCGCATTCCCGATTTTACGTGGCCCTTGCGAATCAAGAGCCCATCCAGCCTTGACAAGTAATTCGGCCGCCTCATCAAGGTCTGAGACAAGTAGATAGAGATTGAACATGACTGTAGGAACGCCAAAATGATAAAGAGTATCTTCGAACCAGATGACGTAGGGGACTTGATGGGCAGATAACACTTGACAAGGCTTGTATCTTCTGTCGGTGTCGGACTCGTGATGGGGCATAGCGTATATGAAGCCTACAACGGAGATGTGCAGGTACCGATTCAAGTATGATGGTCTTTCGGTGTAGGTGTCTGAGGTTGTAGATTAATGACAAGAAGCGATGTCGTCAGGTTTCCAAAGGAAAGACTAACAAGGTGCAAATAAATACAGTCCACGTGACTTACTGAGGCATCAGTCGATGTTTGAAGATGAGATCGTTAAATACTAATTTCACGTATTGATAAATTATGTATTTCTAATCTGAATACCATTCTCCAATAAGAGTTAGGCAGAGTAGGAGGGATACCGATAACTACCTATTCTGTTGGCGGATGCCTAAGCTCCTAGTTCTGGATAGCGTCATAAATTGCCTAATTTAGCTCTCTGATTCTTGCTTGGTTTCCCTGCTGCCTGGTAGGTCCGGCATGTCTAATAAGTGCTGTCATTCCAATTTCCAATGGCACTTCTATAACTCATGAGTGTCCATCTAGCTATTACGCCGAGAAGGAAAACTATGTAGAAAGACATCTAAAAAGACATCGGAGTGTTATCTTGCATAGATCAGATTATGAAAGTATTACGTCGTCAAACATGGAGGCCCGGCCGACTACTTTTGTACTTACTAAAGGATCTGCCTCCATTCTTGAACAATTCCTGAGGTAACAAATGATAGATGTAGGATTGAGATATAGGATTCCATAATACAAAAGAATAGCGTAGATAATTGCGAATACAATACTTCTATACCCTTTCATATGGCTTTTCAACTTCCTTCATCAATTACTGCCTAATATAGGCACCGAATGTTGTAGACCAGTGGGTATATATGCAGGTCATATAACCCCAAATAACAACCCAATCCATCATCACCTACAAAGTGCATTTGCCATTTAAACTTGCCTGCTACCACTTTATCAGGCATGTCTTCAGAGTTTCACGCCCCGGAAGCACTTCGGGCAGCTCTCTCAGCGCTCGGAAATGCACTCGGCGACGAAAAATACGCTCTTGTCGGTGGCAGTGCCTGTACAGCACTAGGCTCCGAACGAGCAACCCAAGATATTGACTTTGTTGTCCTTCGGGGCCAAACTCCTGCTGTGAGAAATCTGCTGCGGAGTTCTCCGGACTTTGAGGTTGAAGCAAGGACATATCACACATGGTATAGGGCTGAAAAGCCTGTGGAGATCGAGATCCTCGCGCCTGCTGCTTTGTTCCGGGAAACATTCGATGAAACGACCGAAGTGATCACACTTGGAAACTTAAAGGTTTTGAAGCCGGCATTGCTTCTGAATGCAAAATGCGGGTCTATCCCCAATCGGGCCAGTGACGCTAAAAAGAGAACCGATGCTCAAGATATTATTTTCCTTCTTGGTTACTGCGCTGAAAATTCCGACCACCTTCCAAAGGCTTCTGAGGTCCCAAACGCAAGCAAAGACTTAGTTAAAGCCTTCATCCGAAAGTACGGCGGCGAGGAATCTTGGATTAGGGCTGGCTATGACCTGCAGATGGGTTTGTTGCATCTGATTCGGGTTTGAGGTCTTGGTGTTTATACTAACAACTTATAGGCTGTTTCACAAGAAACTGATTTATCTCAGCACTTAGATTCTAACCATTGGGGACCCTTTCGGTTTCAAGCATGTGGTTTTCAATGATAGCTTCAACGAGTTGCTTTCCGACCAAGACTGACCACTTTCTAGCCCTAGTCAACTGTTACACATAGAAAAGTCCATTTCACAAATTAAGCCTCTCTCTGCCTTCTTCTGCGGTCTTTGTGTGGAACTGAAGAAGGCAAGCAAAATACTCATTAAAAAGACGTCTAAAAAGACTGCGAGAAAGACATCCTGGTTATATATAGAAAAGTCTCTTGCACAAAGTATGCTTTTTTACTGCCTTCACATATATCCGAAAAGATCAGCTGAAAAGACATCACCAATACGCAGCCGACTATTCTTGCTGTATTTAAATAGGAATATAGATTCTCTTTATTCTAGTTTGTCATGGTAAGTATAGGATGTTTACCTGCTCTGTTCATCTCCACAGTCGCGTAGTCCGACCATATGGCTGATAGGAGTGGATCCGCATGGACTGGCCGCTTGGCCTAATGGTTAAGGCACCCGACTCCTAGTTAATAGTGTCATCGGGAGATTGTGAGTTCGAATCTCATAGTGGTCGTTTTTTTGCTCCTTTGAAAATATCACATATTGTGAATTGGTTCGGGACGATTTTTAAATGAGTGAGGTATGGCAAGGAGAGGGGAATGGCCGTATTCAGAAGTTAAGACTGTGAGTATGGCAGTCGGTCCTAATCAGGAAGGTCCGGCTATCAACAAACGTCCATCGTAAATAAGTTTACTTCCTAAATAACATTTTTCACATTGAAATCTAAGAATTTCGAGAAAAGTAGAGCAAAGCAGGTCTCAAGTCTTTTGCAGAGAAAAAAGAAATTCATGGTTCATTTCTCACTCCTACCACCGTTTTGGTGACCATATTTCTGCCGGGACGATTGGTCTCCCCCTAACTCATACAATTTTAATATACAATCTGATCTTTAAAGGGGTCTTACATAGGAGTTAAATCTGGTTTTCGTCAAGGTGAATGGTGCTTCAAGTGACTTGTTTTCGATGGGCATACTATTTATTGTATGAGTTAATATAGGGAGAGTTCAGGTTAGGTGAGGTCATCTCCGCACCCCGAAAAGGATTTGCTCAAAACCTCGACTAATACGGATACATCGATCCATCGATATAATACTGTTGGAAGCTGTATGATGAAACAGGAAAAGACCAAAAAATGGGAGCATGCTAAGGTTGAAATCTACTCTTCCACAAGATCGTCAACAAATTCAAATTGGACAGGTGTATTCGTTCAACAGAACTATAGAAATAAAGCCCAAACACCAGTGAACGCCAGAAAGACCCAAAACGTCAATTATATAATCCATTTCAGAAAGACATAGACATGTAGTATCATCAACACTGATTTTGAGGCGTCACAGATTAATGAAAACCAGGGGTATGGCGCAAAGGAAAGACAAAAAGGGAGCGCACACAAATGCAATCAAGAAAGCTCGACATATCTACATGTACACACCAAAGGCCACAGCCAGCAACAGCGGCACGACAGCCGCAGCCGACAATTTCGGAGGCTCTAGCATCGCCGCACCCGAACCAATAGAACTGGTCGTGTACATGTACTGGAAACTGATGTCCGACGAATTGAAGCAATTGTCGCGAGTGACTGTCTCTACGGACGCATCACCATCTTCTGCGAACTCAATGTCCACGCACTAGAGACAAGTCAGTATATTGATCGGCGGATCGGAAAATGAGGGGGCTGGGACATACATTGAATAGCGCAGCGCCGTGCTTGGCGGTCTCGACCAGCTGAATTGTGGCATAGTCGCCCGGGCTGACGGAGATATTGGCCGGCAGGGGCACCTGGGGCAGACACACGGTACCGGGGTAAGGGTTATTGGTCGGGCCGACGATCTGGAAGGGTGGGACAACAGGGTGGCTCATGTTGTCGGGGATTTCACCGAAGCCGAGGTTGATATAGATCAGGGCAGTGGCGTGGCCTGGGAACCAGCCCGGCTGGAAGGCGACAGCACCACCGCTGACGGGCCACTTGGTACGGTTGGTCGACCTGGGCATACCACCACCTTGGAAAATTCGAGTCAGTAATTGATGTTCAAGGACGAGAATATAGGTTTTGCTTACAAGGATAAATCCACTCCATGCCGTACGGGTAGATGAGTGAGCCATTCTTTGCATCATAGGCGACACCAAGACCATTAGATTGCGAAACGGTGCCGTTGGTGTGGAGGTTATTTCCTCGATAACCAGGGTAAGTGATGACGGTGTGAGCATGCGCCAGACCCAAGCACAGCAGGAGCAGGACAGAAGCCCATCGCGATATGGATTGTGTGAAGCTCATGGTGAGATACGACAGCGACGGTGACAAGTTGCAAGAGGTGCACAGTAATTATTCAGCTGTTGCTGAACGAGACTTAGACTCAATTTATCCGATCGCAGGATGAACGAAGCAAGTAGGAGAGAGGGAGGGCAACGGAAATGGCACAATGGGACACCAAAATCATAGAAAGTCCAAGACCAAGACCAAGCCATGATTTTCGAGGGCTAAATGGTCTTTTTGAGGGGTACTGGGCTTCACTAGGGCGGACGAGTCAGAGCCCTGGAAAGCAGATGTGACCGAGACTGCATGGTGAGGCATCTGTGACTGGCTCCGCATAGTGATGAAGAGCAGGGGTAGCCTAGGATCATCACAGCCCGCTGCAAGTGCCATCACCTAAAGGGTGATACTGCACGATGATTTGCTGAGCGACCAGCGGTGGAAGCGCCGAGGGGGCACGCTAACGTTCGGGGAGACAACATGAGCGCTTACAGGATGTGCGAGTGTGCCCAGAGGATAAGTTCTGAATTGTTGGACTTTCTTTCCTGCAAAGCATTTCACTTTTTTCACCTGAATATGTAGCTCTATCTCACCCTAAGCTTCACTTGGAATGGTATACTGTCTACCTAAGTACTCCAGCCATTCTCCTTAGTAAGCCAGTTGGAGTCTCGCCAAGCATTTCCCCCGCATCTCCAAAAAAAAAAGCTTCAATAAATCCAATATAACCAATATCAATATATAACTCCAAAACCACAATATTTATATAATTATACATATATAAAATATGCCCCACACATCTCACCCTTCTCATCGAAAACGACCAACCCCAAAACGAACCCAAGTGACCGACGACGATGGCTGGACCCATGTCGCAAGTGGCGGCAACGTGCGGCGCGTAATGCGCACTCGTCCGCGAGGCACAACTGAAATCAAGGAATCAGAGTCCGGGATATCCTCCATCCACCCCGAAGAACCCACCCTGACCCCCGCAGAAGCACCGGGTCGACTCACGCTGTCCGAGCTGCAGGCGCAGTTCCAAACTCATCGTGAGCGTTGGGAGGGTTCGGAGAGTTGGACTAAGTTGACGAGCGTTTTGGATGAACGGCTGAAGAGGGCGCAAGAACAAGCTTCTACTTCTGATGCTACTTCTTCCGCCCCGGCCCGCTGTCCCGTCGACGCCATTGTCTGTATTGGGCTCGGAAGCCCGAGTGGGTTCTTGCGTGATGGATGGGTTGATCGGCGGTCTGTGTCGCTTTATCAGCTTGCTGCTCTGGCCAGCATTAAGGATCAAGTTGCTTGTTCGTTTCCCGGTCTTTTGGATTTAGTTTTTTGTGTTGGTTTTGGTTTTGGTTTTGGATATATTCATCTTGGGGCTATACTTGGATCTCCTTGGATATTCTTCTTAACCTCGATTATCGCATACCCAGTAATTCGTATACCCCATGCTAATCACACACCCATATTACAGGCACCACTTCCTCCAATCTCAAAGTCTACGCCCAAGACCCTGTCTTCAACACACTAGACGAATCCCTCCTCGCAGCGCTGAATATAACAGTCATCAAGCACCCAGAGGCCTTCTCGCACATCACAGCGAACACAATGCTCTTCTGCCCCGGTGCCGAACGCAAACATCTTGAATTATTGCTGCCGTCGAAGCCGTGGCTGTTGTTCGGTGGACCGCTTGAGCATGCAGACTCGGATGGTGTATTGCAAGGTTACGTGGATGGAGCTGGGTCGTATTGCTTGCCGGTGTTTGAGGCGCTTGAGCATGCCTTTTGGAATATGAGGCTATATTGGGTTGAGGATGTCGTGGGTGAGGAGTGATATCTATATAAAAGCTTTTGGTATTTTGGGTATTTTGGCTTGTTGGAGATGCATGGGACTATACAGGTTAAAGACAGGTATGCATGGGATTGGCGTTAGTGTATTCCTTGAGATTGAGTCAAATATCATGATCTTTCCCATATGCGCCTTCCAGGTTTGGTCAAGTACCCATGCACCCCCGTGCCTTCCCTTTTGGGTCAAAAACCGTCACCCACCCCAGTTTCCCCGTCGCCTTAAGCCACAGGGAAGGTATAAATACCTGCTCCCTCCCACTTTTTCTCTCTTCTTCTTTCTTTCTTCTTCAACCCTCCGGGCCCACATTGCACTCCGT